CACTTACAATATTATTGTGTTATATTAACTCCGTTATCACCGGAGCCCTTATAAATAACCACTGATTCACCCACACAATTTGCAAGACGTGTCATTGTATCCATAGAAAATGAAACTTGTATTGTAATGTTGAACATTGTTGTCACATCGTTGGGTTGATATTCGTTTGACTAATATTGTAAGTGCATTTCACAGTAAATTTTAAGTAAGCAACTGTTGTAGAAACTGTTACTGTGTAGAAACATCAACTGTTACTGTTGTTGTAGAAATCATAGCTACCTCTAGTTTCGCACCCCGCCTCAGTGTTGTGGGCTCAGAACTAGTTTAGCTAATCACCTTAGGTAATGCGAAGGCTTTTGAGATGATACCGAAGGCAGAATCTATCGGTATCTTAAAGTGTGCTATCAAGTAGGTAACCCAAGCATTGCTGTGCGCTCTTTTATCCCATTTCTTAATCGTGCGGTAAATCAACGATACGGTATCTGGGCACCGCCCACATCTATAAGTATATGAGCTTGCAGGTTTATGTATTTATGTCGGTCACTCTACACATCGTAATAAACGGTTGCACGTGTAGAGCGCAATCCATGAGTCAACTACCGAAGAGGTTTTTATATATGAAGTGCATTCCTTTCCAGGGTTTTGATTGATTATTAAAAATGAATAGGCAAAACTTTTGACTGACTACAAACTTCAAACAAAAAATGGCAACGTGTTCAAACACCGCTGTGGCGCTGTTGCTCCGACAATTTTTTTTGACCACTTATATTATAGTCATTGCCATATTTGAACAAGGAGTAGAATCTCGTATGTATTTAGAAACAAGTATATCAGTTTTGGCTAACAAAAGCGCTCAGAGTGGCTGCTTTCAGAGTTCAACGACGTGGCGCTAGCCACCGTCGGTCGGTAGGCACGTAGTTGAACGCTGAGCGCAGCCAGTCATTTGATGTCTTGTTCAGGTCCACCTTTGGGCGCATTCATAGCACCTGCGTTTCTACGCAGATATATACGTAAAAACACAAATATGTGACTGAGACACCAATAAGTGCGTTTTAAGGCATGTATCCGCGTAAAGCGCACCAGTCTGCGTAAAAACGTGCCTACCATGAATGCGTTCACTTTCCTTCAACATTGAGCGCTAGAGCGCACAGAACAAGGGTTAACTGGCTTTATAAGCCCCGAATGCTCCTT